ACCAAAGGGCTGGATTACAGGCTGAGCCACCAAGCCCGGCCTTAATTCATTAATTTTTACCTTTGAATTTGTTCATTTCTTTCTCAGACTTTCCTTGCATTTTTATTTTATTTTATTATTTTTTTCTTTTTTTTTTTTTTTTTGTTTTTTGTTGTTGTTGTTGTTGTTTTGAGTTGGAGTCTCACTCAATCGCCCAGACTGGAGTAGCTGGAACTACAGGCACGTGCTACCACGCCCGCCTGATTTTTGATTTATTGTAGAGATGAGGTCTCACCAAGTTGCCCGGGCGGGTCTCGAACCCACGGGCTCAGGCAATTCACTCACTTCAGCCTCCCAAAGGCACGGGATTACAGGTTGAGCCACCGAACCCGGCTGTGTTATTTTTTTCTTTTGAATTAGGGTCTCACTTTTGCCCAGACTGGAATACAGTGGCACGATCATGGCTCACTGCAGCCTTCACCTCCTGGGCTTGGCCTCCCAAGTAGCTGGGATTACAGGCACATGCCACCATGCCTGCCTAATTTTTTTTAATTTTTATTATTTGTGGAGACAAGGCCTTGCTATGTTGCCCAGGATGGTCTCAAACTCCTGGGCTCAAGCAGTCCTGTCTCGGCCTCCCAAAGTGCTGGGAGTGAGCCAGCACCCCGGCCACTACTACTTTTTTATTACCTCCTCTTTCCAGACTTCATCCTCCAGGTGTATTGAAATCATCTGAAGGTTCACAGATTCAGAATGGTTTAGCAGTATGAAATTTTTCTTTTAACAACAATTCTTAAATTGGCATTAAACTGCATATTAATATAGTTACTTTAGCTGGACATGGTGGCTCAAGCCTGTAATGCCAGCACTTTGGGAGGCCAAGGCGAGAGGATTACCTGAGTCCATGGGTTCAAGACCAATCTGGACAACTTGGCAAGACCTCATCTCTACAATAAATAAATAAATAAATTAGCTGGGCGTGGTAGCGTGTGCTTGTAGTTCCAGCTGCTTGGAAGGCTGAGGCAGAAGGATTGCCTGAGCCCCGCAGGTCAAGGCTGTGGCGGCTGTGAGCGTGCCACTGCCCTCCAACCTGGGTGACAGAGTGAGACTCTGACTCAAAA